CCACTCCTACAGTTGTATCAGCTGGCAGCTGGGCTGGACTACAAATGCAATGGTCTCCTAGAAGGTTGAGGAAGGACCTTGCTGTTACCTGCCAGCCAGGATGGAGGAATTGATTCTCTACCATGTGGCCTCTCTATTGATTTTCACCTCCCAATGTTTTCTCTTCTACAGAATAACCTGATCATTAGTAATTGTGAATTCTTGTCTTACACATATTGCCCAGTTATACATCTTTGGAAAATGTCTATTTAATATTTTAATATAGTATTTTTCAAATAGAGTTCTTAGACATTTTAAAGTTGATTTTGCAGTGGAGATGTAGGTGTCCCTAAGTATGTTGGAGTTGAACTCCTTGTCAGACATATGGTTTGAAAATATACTCTCCCATTATGTAGGATGTCTTTTCACTCCATTGATTATTTCACTTGCTGTGCAGAAGCTTTTTGGTCTCATGTAATACAATTTGTTTATTTTTGTTGTGCTTTCAGTGTTATATTCAAGAGACTATTACAAAGATCGATGCCATGAAGTTTCCCATGTTTTCTTATGAAATTTTTATAGCTTCATGTCTTACATTTAACTTTTTAGCACATTTTAAGTTAATATTTGTGTATGGTCAAAGATCAGGGTCCAATTTCACTATTTTGTATGTGGATATAGTTTTCCCCACACCATACACTACTTTATTCTTTCTGTAATATCTATCCTTGTCATCCTTGCTGAAGGTCAAATGACCACATGAATATATTTGACTTCTTTTCCATTCCTGTAGTCTGTATCTCTCTTTTTATGCTTTATATTTACTGTAGTTTTGTAATGTATCATAAAACCAAGAATTGCCTTGTTTATAGCTTTGTGCTTTCTCAAAATTGACTTGGACATTTATGGTTTTTTTGTGCTTCCATATGAATTTTTTCTATTTCCTTAAAAAGATTATTAGGCTTTTTATAGAAATCATATATTGAATTAGTAAATCTGTCATTAATATAAACAAGTTAGCAATATTGAATCTCCCCAACTCATGAATACAGGACAGCATTTATTTGTTTTGTCTTCTTAAACTTTTTTCATTAATGCTGTACAATTTTTAATATATGAGCCAATATACTCTTGGTCAAGTATATTCCTAAGTATCTCTTTTAGTACTATTATAAATGTTACTGTTTTACTAATTTCTATTTGCGTAATGTACTGTTAGTGTATAAAAATTCAATTGATTATTTTTTGTTCATTTTGGATACTACAAATTTACTAAAAGCATTTGTTATCTCTGAAAGTTTTGGTGCTGTATTTTCTGGGTATCTATAAGATCATAAATCTACAAACATGTTTGGTAGAATTCAGCAGTGAAACCATCAGGTCCACAGCTTTTCTTTGCTGAGAAGTATTTTGTTTACTGACTCAGTCTCCACAGTAGTTTTAATTTTTTTCAGACTTTGCATCTCCTCATGGCTAGACATTTCTTAGGTTGTATATTTCTAGATTTACACATCTTCTATATTATTGAATTTATTGCCATATAATTGTTCATAGTTGTTTTTAAAATCTTTGCATTTCTGTGGCATCAGTTGCATTGTCCTCTTTCATTTCTGCCTTACTTGAGTCATATAATTTTTTAGTGTCCCAAATGGCTTACAAATTTTGCTTATTTGTTCAAAAGAACACCTTGTATTTGTTGATGTTTTCTATTGGCTTTCTATTCCCTTTTATTTTATTTCCCTTCAAAGCTTATTTCTTTCTTCTGCTAACTTCTGGCTTAGTTTTATTTTTTCTTTTCATCTTTATATTTCTTTAAGTATAAAAAGCAAGATTGCTTACATGAGATTTTCTTTTTGAAGGTAGGCATTTTCAATAAATGTCTATTTTAGTATTGCTTTTGCTATATTCATAAGTTTTAGTATGTTATTTTTCATTCTCTTAGTGTAAGGATGTTTTCTAATTTCTGTTTGACCTACATTAATTTAAATTTCCAAATGTTTGGAAACTGTTCAGTTTTTGTTCTATTGATTTCTAATTTTGTGCCATTAGGGATGAATAAGAAATTTGGTATGATTACAATCTTCTTGAGTTTGTTAACCCTTGTTTGTTAAGCCAGGAGAAAGTCACCTGACATCTGAGAAGAACATGTACTGCACTGCTATTGGGTGGAATGTTCTCTAAATGCCTATTTACAGTGTTGATCAAGGCCAATGTTTCCAAATTGTCCACATTACCTGATATTTTTCTATCCATTATTGATTGAAATCTCCTACCATTATTATATTTCTTTCTGTAATTCCTTTCAAGTTCATCAGTTTTTGCTGAATATACTTAAGTGCTCTGATACTGGCTGCCATAACTTCTTATTGGGTTGACCTTTTTCTCATTATGGAATGGAAATTTTATCTTTGGGGGCAGTTTTTTTTTAACCTAACATCTATTTTGCTTGATGTAAGTATAGCTACCTAAGATTTTTTTGGTTAACATTTTGCAAGGGATATCCTTTTCCATTCCTTTAATTTCACCATATGTATGCTCAACTCTAAAGTGAATTTCTTATATAGATTGTAAATGTTTTTCTAATAAAGCATTCAGTGAGCATAAGAAATTGTAATCCTAAAATCGGTATCATAAGTAACTGAAAAACATTAGAAGCTTTTTTAGTAAAAGAACAAAAGGGGGGAGGGGATGAAATGTGCACATTCACTATTATTAAACAATAGAGCATACTGAGATATTAAAATACATAAAAAGGTAAAACTATAAAATCAAGAAGGAAAAATAAACTATCTGTAACTGATGAAATTATGGACCAAAGGAAAAAAACCTCAGTAGGTAAATTTACTAAGCTTAGTGGGGTATAAAATTAATATCCAGACTGCAATACTTAGAACACATATAAAGAGCAAACTGTGAGAAGCTAAATTTGGAGAAAGGATTATATTAGCCATAAAACAGATAAATTACCTAGCAATGAATGTACCAAGAAAGATACAAGACCTATATGAAAACTTGTAAACATTACTAAAGAACTCCAAAGAAACTCTGACTAAAAGGAAATACATGTGATAAGGTTAGAGACATTAATTCTCAAAATCATGGGAATGTTAAGCTTTTCAAAATTAATTTAAAATTTCAAAGTGATGTGAGTATATGAATAAGTTGTTATTAGAACTAGATAATATTTAGAAACAATACTTTAACTCTCAGATGGTCAAAACCCAAATGTTTGGGCACTCTTGCATATTTGTAATGATGATATAAATTTGCATAACTCTTTTGAAAGTCATTTTTGAAATATCTGTCAACAGTACAAAGGTATACACATTTTGACTCAGAAGTCACACTTTTGAGTATTATCTTTCAGGTATTCTCCCACATTTAGAAAAAGAAATGTTGAAAAGGTTACTTTTTGTAGCCCTATCCATAGTATCAATCTAAAACAACCCACATGTCAACCAATATAAAATTGGTTAAATAATTTACTCTTATTAATGCTAAGGAAACATTTTATATCATTAAAACTGATAATGATAACAACAAAAATTACAAGGTATAAGTAGTGTTGGGTTTTTTTGTTTGTTTGTTTTTTGTTTGGTACTGGGGATTGAACTTGGGTCAGTAGCCAGAACCACTGAGCTAAATCCCCAGCCCTATAAGTAGCGTTTTAATATGCTATTTTTCCATGTAAAAGTGAGATAAATTAAATAATACTTATACCTTTTTATATTTGCATTTTATAGATACTTTCTTTATGCATGCATTTTATGGATCCAGAAAGGGTGCAGAGGAATTATTGATGCTGCTAGCTAGAGTGGGAAGGAATGAAGGGAAAGTAGGCAAATGAGGGTCAGTAATGAAGCAAGCTTGTACCATCTGCTTTCAGAGTATAGTATTCGGAAGCATTTCTCATGAAAAAGCTTGGGAGAATATGGTAGAAGTTGGCAGTGGTTAGAGAAAACGAGGAAGGGATCTTACAAATGAAAAGAGTATATAATACTTTTCAAATACAATAATAAACAGGTGATGTCTGAAAGCTAATAGCCACCACTTTGAGCACCTCTTGTAATTGTAGAAGCCAAAGGTAACTTGCCCTAATCTCAAGATTTCTCAGTAAATTTCAAATTAAGATTTTATACAGCGTTTTCTTTTCCAGTTGTACACATGTTTTGGTGGACTCTATATAATATAATATATTCTTTAAATGAATTGGGCTAAAGAACAAAAACTTTTGGCCTGGAATAAAACCTTGCTGAAAGATCTGCAAATGCAACACACAGCCTGTGCTGCATACCAGCAAGAGTGATTCTTCATCTACTTTTTAATCTGTTTGGAAGAGAGTCATGTGGAAAAGATCAGAGTATCTTAAGTGGTAACAAAGATTCTAAGAAGTTAGAGTAAATTTTTAAAGTATTCATTTCAGTAAATCTTTTCTAAGCACAAAGCTTTCTGAAGCCATCAGACAAAAATTTAAACACATTGATAAGGGATTGAAACATAAAATATAATAATTACCATCATACCTAAAATTTATTGCAAACTCAATATATTTGAAACTCTAAGATGCATTTAATACACATTAAATATGTATATATAAAAAAAAAAACAAACAAAGGGGCCGGGGATTTAGCTCAGCGGTTCCGTGGCCTGCCTTGCAAGCGCAAGGACCTGAGTTCAATCCCCGGTACCAAAAAACAAAACAAAACAGAAAACATGTATCTATACATATATGTAAACAGGAATACAACTTTAAATTTTTGAATATTTAATGAAGCAATTCTGTATCTAATGCAATTCTTGCAAGAATTACATTAACTTTTCTTTGTTTTACATAATAATACTCATTTTATCCATGAGGAAATAGTCTCTGAAAAGGCAGTGTCTTGCACAGAAGGTAATACAGTCAGGAATTGAGTTGAAGAAGAGAAACTAAGTTAAATAATGTGCCATGATTATCTGTAAGTCTTGCTATTTTGAAATGTAATGAATTAAAATAACAGAACTCATAGTGCTTGACTTACCTTACAGTAAAATGTAGAACTCTCTTCTTCATGGACTCCTGTTTTTTATTTAGATATTTCATTTGATTCTGTTTCACCTCTGGTTTCTTCAAAGGAATCACATGGACATCAAGAGGTGGAAATAATAGTTTGGAAAGTGTGTTGGCAACTCTCCACCCAATGTATTTAGAGAAAACCTCTTCCCTTGCATTTGATGGAATTTTTGTACTGTATCTCGTGAAAGGATCAGTTCGGTCATTTAACTCAGCCTGTTGAAAGAAAAGAAAAAGGAACTAGTTGAAGCAAAATTGAAGGAGAGAAAAATGATGTTATTATTAAAGAAAATATAGGATATATGTTCATTTTGTATTAATATTCCATTTTTCCTGTTAAATAAAAATAACTTTTATAAAAAATAGATTCCTAAAGGATTTTAAAAATCATCAATTTCAATAACACAAACAATATTGGTGTGTCCAACCTCAAAATTCTGAATATGTAACATTGAAACTTACATTTTACATTTCAGACACTTGCCACACAGTAATTTAATAAGCACTTAAAATTTTGGGGTTTTTTTTCATTAAGTTTACTGGTACTTTTTAGGTATACAGTACAGCTACATTCATCGTTGGGATCATGTACATTTACATGATGTATCTTGGTTTTTCTTTTTTCCCCATATCCCTGCCTTCCCTTTACCCCCTTCACCCTTCCCTATTTAAAGAGACTGTTTCCATTTTTTCCTTTTCTCAAACTTTTCCCTTCTTTCCTTTCCCATACTCTTCCCACATCCCCTACTCCTTTAGCACTTTTCTTCCTATTTCACATTATAAATTATACAATTTGAACCTTATTTACACTTCTAGCTTTTCACACCAGAGAAACTATTTGGTATTTTCATGTGTGTCCTTTTTATTTCACTTAAGATTATGGCCTCAATATGTATGAATTTACCTATAATGTCTCTAGTTTCTCATTCTTTAAGGCTCCATTTTATAGAAAAACCACATCTTCTCTATCCAGTCTCCAATTGATGGGCAGTTGGGCTGGTTTCCAAGTTTTAGCTATTACAAACTATACCACTATAAACATGAGTATGCATATATCACTGTGATATGATTCTTTTAGTTCTTTTGGAAAGATCCCAGCAGAGGGATAGCTGAGTCAAATGGGGCCTCTAGTCCTACTCATTTGAGGTATCTCCATATTGATTTCCACAGTGGTTGCACCACACTACACTCCCACCAACAGAGAGGGGTTCCTTTCTCCCCACGACCCTGCCTACATATTATTGGTTGATTTCTTCATAGGAGCCATTCTTTCTGGGGTGAGGTGGACTCTCAGTGTTGCTTTCACCTGCATCTCTTGAATGACCAGTGACGTTGAACATTTTTTCATATATTTAATTGCTGCTTTTACTTGTTTGAAAAGTGAAGTGTCTGTTCATTTCAGATGCCCATTTTTGAATAGGGTTTTTATGTTGGGGGGGTCTGAATTTTTTTTTGAGTTCTTTATATATTCTAAAGAGTAGACCTGTGTCTGAGGAACATCTGGTAAAAATTTTTTCCCATGTTGTTGGTTGTCTCTTAGCTGTGTTGGTGGCTTCTCTTGCGATGCAAAAGCTTTTTAGTAAGATGAGATTCCAGTTGTTGATTCTTTTGTTTGGAGAGCTGGTTTGGTATTCATGAAGTTTCTCAGATGTTCCTTGTCAGGAAATTATCTTATCATCTCATCAATTTTGAAAGATAATTTTGCAGGGTACATCAGTCTAGGTTGGAGGTTGTTTTCTTTAGGGCTTGAAATACCTCACTCCAATCTCTCCTTGACTTGAGGGTTTGTGTTGAAAAGTCTGCTGTGATTCTGATGGGTTTTCCTATGCATGTGATTCGTTTCTTTTTTCTAACTGCTTGCAGTACTTTGTTTTTCTGTTGGGTTTCCAGGATATTAATTATTATATGTCTAGGTGTAGATTTTTTTATCATGGCTAGCTGCAGTCCTATATGCCTAACTTATCTGTATGTCTAATGTGTATCCTCTGTTGGGGAAGTTTGCTGTCATTAATTCTATGAATATTTTTTGTGTCATTTGTACTTTCTTGTGCTTTTTCATGGACTCCTGTCAGTCATATATTAATCTTCTCTGTATCATCTAGGAGCTGTTTGGACTGATTTATCATGTTCCCTTACTATTTTTAAGAGATCCTTTTTTTCATAGTCACTGATCTCTATCCTGTCTTCTATATCTGATATCCTGTTTTCAGAATGGCTCAGTCTGTTATGTATACTTTCAATAGTTTTCAATCTCCTGGATACCTGCACAAATCTGTTTCATGGATTCCATTTGTTTCCTATATTGGGCCTTCATAGTTTTCATTTCTTTCCTATGCTGGGCATTCATGGCTTATGAACTAATTTTTTTTTTTTTTTTTTTTTTTTTTTTTTTTTTGGTATCTGTTTCTGTTCTCCAGTCTCTAATTATGTCTTTCTGTCTTTCATTCTGCTCATCATCTCTGTAGTCATCTGTTTTGAATTTTTCTAGAGCCTTATTCATCTGTCTTGTTACTTCCTGTGCTATCAATTCAAGATGTCCAGGTGGTTGCTTATCAGAATTTTCCACCTCATTTCCCCAAGAATATGCCTTTGTTGAGCTGGAAGTCTGTGTTTGTGCCTTGCTTAAATGTCTTCTCATTTCTATTTTTGTTGTTGGTACTATCCTTGGTTTAATTCCTGGGTTAATATTTCGTTCTTTCCAGATATATCTGAATTTTAGGTTTTGAGTCTCTAATGACTCTGAAGTAATCTCATTTTCATAATACCAAGAAGGACAACTGATTAGATCAATCACAACACCTTAGCCCAAGTGATACAATCTGCAACACGACACCATCAAGTACAGCTTAGATGTCAATTTGCGATAGTTATTAATCCATCACCTTTAACTATGTGAATTAAATCAAAATCGAGGACCAGCCCAGAATATGTTTATAGTGAATAAATTCTTCAGTAGCAACTTTACCCTTCATGGCAGGGACTTAGAAGGAGTTGCAGAGAGAGGGATAGATAGGTAGAAGGACAGGAGGTTAGAAGTGAATCCAGAGGACACAGGAAGATCACAGAAATGCTAGGAAACTGTTGAAGACAAGAGGGAAAGACAGAATTAAAGAACAAAGACAAGAATAGAACAACCTAACAGCAATAGGGAAGCTGGAAACTGTACTTACTTTCCTTTGAAACTAATGACAATTGAGAGAAGGAAAAAGAAGAAAAGAAAAAGTAAGAAGAAATCTGAAGTAGGGCAGAAACAGGAACAAAAAGGGAGATGAAAAATAATGTGGGAGAGTGAGAGACTGTGTGGGAAAGAGAAAGAAAAGAGAAAAAAAAGGAAGAATTTGAAGAGTGGGAAAAATAAAAATTAAAACTTAAAAATATGAGGAAAGAAAAAAATTAAAATAAATACTAAAAATTAAGGGCCTCCTTCAGGGTATGTCTCTGCTGTCATAACAGACAACATGGGCAGCAGTGTGCAGATCTAAATCAATTAGTCTCGGCAAGCCAGCAGCAGATCCCTGAGATTCAGTCTGAATTCTGACTGCAAAGCCCAAATTGAGCTCCCTGATGTTCATTCTGCAGGGTTGAATTCTGCAAGGTTCCAGCTGCCCTTCCCCTGAAGATAGTTCAGTTTCTGATGGAAGGTGGTGATACATCCACCTTACCAATGACGGTGGTCTGGTGAGCCTTTATTGAAGAAATTCTCTTCACTTTTCCAATGGGCTTCAATTTTCATCAAGGAGCCTGAGAGGCCCTCTTTCTATTGTTCACTTCTCCTCTATCTTCTGAAGCTCAGGACAATGGCCTTTATGATCCCCTGTGCCTCTGAGGTATAGATCCAGGTACCAGCACAACCAGGAAGCCCAAGTGGCAGGGGCTGGGGGTGCCAGGGTGATGCTGTGGTGGGGGCACCCACGCTGCTCCACTCTTCACTGGTCTGCACCACTTGGAGGCCCAGAGCACTGGGGCAGGGTAGCAGCCTAACTAAACAGGACTCTGGCTCTCCTCACCAGTCTGCAACACTTGGAGGCCCCATAAACTTTATTTAATAAGAAATGAAGCAAACACTTGAATTAATATATGCTTTATTAAATCAGGTAACTTTTTGTGCACAATCCAAACTTTCATTGAAGTGAACAGACTATTTGTATATAACAAAACTTTTGTAAGAAACCAAGTATTTTATTCAGTTTAAATTGAAGATGATTTGGAATTCAGACTTTTATTCATCTTAAAAATTTGTTTTACTGATATTAAAAACATGAATAGTATAACAAGTTATGACTCAGTACATAAGTTGAATATGTTCTATCAAAAAAAGAGTACCAAAATTTCCAGAATATTTAAGCAGCCTTTATTTTTTAAATTTTCTATTTATATTTGATAATGTTCTTGACTGAGTTTTAGTTACTTCTTTTTAAATGGCTAAAGGTACATTTTCTTTAGGTGATATTAGTAAGAATAAATGAAGATATAAGTAAAATGTCATGTGTTACAATATTTTTAATGTTTCAATATGTTTGTACTAGAAACTTTATCATAAATAAGTTGGATGATGTCTATTTTAATTTACATTTTTAAAAGCTTAAACATTATCCATCTTCAAGTAGCTCATTACCAATCAGGGTTCATTTTAGATATCTATAAATCCCATCAGAGAAAATATAGTTGAAAATATTTTTCTTAATATGAACATCTAACTTAACCTCTTTAATATTCTAAGATCATCCTTGGCTCAATTAGGTTACTGCTAAAAGACTGACTGTCAAATTAGGAAATGAAAGTGGAATGATGAGTACAGTGTAGTATATTCTCATTATGGAAACTAGGGGAAAAGAGTTAAAGTGTTGAGCAAAATAGTTGAGCAAATATAGGTTACTATGAAATCCAGAGAGACTGGGAAAGAATAACATGAGAAAACATTTTAGGAGTTTAAAATAAAACTCATGTAATATGGCAATCCCATTTTGGGGTAAAAATCCAAAAGAAATGAAATCAGTATATTGAAGAAATTACCACAACACCACTCATACTATTAAAGATATGGCTTTGATCTCCATGTCCATCGACAAATGAACAGACAAAGAAAATATGGTATATACACAGAGTGGAATTCTACTCAGCCGTTAAAAAGAAGGGAAGCCTGTCATTTGAAACAACTTGGATGAGCACAAAAAGCTTCAGGCTGCATAAACTAAGGCAGGCACAGAATGACAAAT